AAAAAGGTAAACTGTTTCAGGAACTTAAGTTCAGCCCTCTTCTTTTTTTTTTTTTTTCAGATATGAAAGAGGAACCTGAATCCACTTCTTCCACAGAATGAGAATGCTTTAAATCAGTATTACATCTCTCTTGCATGTAAACCGTAACTTCTTTTTGCAGAGAATGCAGCACACGCGACTTAAGCGGATTTCTTTTTCTGTCACTGTTAATCAAGGTTGATGGTATTCCCTTTCCCCAACTTCCACACACCACAAGTTAACACGAATTCACATTTTTAAGTATTACAACTTCTTTGACATATGGCAACTGTAGATACTAAGAATCTTGTGAGACACTAGCTGAGGAAAAACTTGCTTCTCTGAAAAAAAACAAACCCAACCAAACCACAAAGCCTTAAGCTATTTTTAAATCTATTAATATTTCTTTGTCTATAGTTTCCTCAAAAATTATCTCACCCAACAAGCAATCAGGTACAGTTCTGAGAGGACCACCCCTTCTTTTATCAAAAGAACATTTAGGACACCCAAGAGCAATAAAATGTTTTAGTGGATTGCCATCCTGTCGGTCAGCTCACTCCTCCACGGCTCATTTCCCCACCTTTCAGCTCCAGGGGAAGAGCCCAGGCAACAGAAGACAAGCTGCAATACCTATTTGGTAAATGCCTGCAGACTTTGGGCTACAGGCTGGTTTTCTTCTTAGCTGATGCTCCTCCTTGTTCCTCCACAGCTCCCCAAAAACTGCTTTTGTAGGAATGCTACTATACAAGGAAAAAAAGTTGATTAAACAGGAATGGTCTTGTTCCTCCTCCTCCTCAGCAGCTTTTGTGTTAACGCCAACCCCCACCTTCTTGTTTTGCTCCTTCCATATTGCAGAGCCTGTCTTTGAAAGAATCCCAGGTGCAAGTGAACTGCCAACTCTGGATGAGTTATGCCAACAATACTTAAGACTGATAGCTTCCACAATATATAACCTCAAATAACTAAACCCTCAGCATAAAAAAAACCCCACAATGTCATCTTTTGTACTCCTCTTCCTCCATTAACATGAAACTGCATCAACTAGAAGATCTAGCCACAATTGGACTGACACCTGACCATTCTGGCAATTTTAAAAAAGCAGTTCTGAATGAGAGATGATTATTTAATTGTTCTTATGTTCATGCTGCTGCACAGTAAAGGCAAAAAGACAGTGTGCTCAGAGCAGGGGGTGAGAAAGCTAGAGATTAAGTAACTTGTTCAGCAAAACAGGGGAAAGCCCAAAGAATGAAAATCCATCAAATGTGAAAAAAACAAATGAGGAGCAGGTGGTACCCTGAGATTCCTTAATAATAAAACTGAGACAACACTTGGTATCAATGTAGACATAGACAGCTGATCACTAACAGGATTCACATGGCAACTCTAGGACACAACTGTCATAACCAACACCCTCCAAGAGGCAAAGATTATCCCTAAGCTGCAGGTGAAGCACCGCACACTCAAATGTTGTCACCTGCACAGATTCCTGGTCCCCTCGTCTTCCATGACGAATTCTTCTGCCTTGAACAGTTTAACTGCATTGCCAGTTAAACTGGGATATTCCTCACCCCAATTCTTGCTTTTAAGAGAAAGAACTTGGTTATTTCATTTGAGTACCAAAATCTCTAAATTTGGGGTTCTAAATTTTCTTTCTTAGGTATATTAAGTTCTTTATCAATAGTTCCATTCCAGGTCATTAAAATCAGCCTAATTACCTTTTTGTGTAGGTGGCTGCAGCATTGTGAACTGAAGCATGAAACAGAATTCTGAAGTACAGGTGAAAACAAGTAGCTAATTATATTGCAATGCATGTATAGAAAGTTTAACACAGTTATCAAGTAGCCAGATGTGACATCTCAAATCAGCTGTCTCAGTTGCTCACCTTTTATATTTCTGTTGTTCTGGTTGCTCCAAGACAAGTCTTCCTTAATTTTCAGTTGATAGCTATGAACTGCTTGGCATCAGAAGGATGTGATCACATTTTGTGTAGCATTAGTTCTCTCTGTGACAAGCTACTCCATTTAAATACACTTTACTCTGCACAACCTTAGCAGACAGCATTCATTACCAGAGCAGAGTAAATTATGAATAATGTGAATTACTCTGTAATTTTTGTCTCTCTCTTCAAGATACCAAAGCAGGTAATACATCTCTATTAATCCTCTTTGGAAGTCTTCAGACAAATTCACTTGTGTGTTTAGAGCTCACTCAGTACCTCTGTAAAGTTAGAAGCAAATAAGCTCCATAGGGGTCTTATAGCATAGAGGTGAAATCTGTTCACTGCCTACACATTTTCTTCTCTGCAACTCATTTCATTATCTGCAAGAGCTATCGAGAAGTCCACCACATAACTCATTCCCAGACTGGTGCATCAGAATCCTTATCCAAGTTTCAGGTGAAAAATTGAGGTTTTTACAGAACATAATTGGTGAAAAATTGAGGTTTTTACAGAACATAATTTCAGCAGTGAAATTTCTTCACAGGAACTTTCATCAGCAAATGGGTGGGGAGTATTAAAAAAAAAAATTTCAAATGTGTGCTCCTGTCTAAGTACTGCTTCTGGGAAGCACTGTGACTAACAAAAGTGGTACAAATGTGTCTTTTTGATTGGAGTGTGCAAACCGAAACTAACGACACTGGACTAAGCTCTCAAACATGACAAAGGGTGTGACTGAAACAGAAAGGTAGTCAACCAAAAAGTGAACACCTACAAACCAAGAAACCAGATAACAGAGTGCAAAAGGGTTCAAAAAAAAAGACGAAACAAAAAACCAAACCCAAACCACCACACCCCACCACTTATATCATACTAACAAACCATTAAAATCAGAAATGCTTCCAAATTTATCATTAAGTCAAGTAAGAAAGGAACCTAAACAGCAGCAAAACTGCTTTTTCTTGACGCTATAGCTTAGAGACCTCGGTCCAGCTCCAGACGCTACCCAGTAATAAACACTCACCAAACTTCCTTTTACATGGAGCGGACAGAAATTCTAGGCTCTTAAAAAACCCCACACATACTACCTTGGTTCAAGCAGTGTATTCCCAGTGTTTGTTTCCTAGATCTCTTGTAAGCATTTAGGCCACATATTTAAGAGAAAAAGAGATGGGAAGGCTGAATACTTTTTAATCAAATATAACCCACATGCAATATTTAAAAATCAAGACTAAAAGCAGGCATCGTTTAATGTATTTTAATAGCAAACTTACAGGAACAGCACAGAAGACAGACAACATTAAAAACATGTACTTGCATGTAGGACAACTCAGTTAGAAAAGTATAGTGAATGGATGGAATCTACTGTATGATAAAAATACTACAAACACCATTTAGTTGCCATTGATAAGAAATTTACTTGTTTAAAAAAATCCAAATGCTGGCATTGTCCAGAAAAATTTGACAGGTTTATTTATATTTTTTTTTTATAAAGCTGAATTGTTGAAACTTGTTCACTGAAACATTTTTTTGACCGCATTGATGTTTTATGCCCCCTTGTTTATATTAAAAATCCACACACAAATGAAAATGGAAAAAAACTTGCCAATATCCAATTCTGTCCCCTATTTTTCCATTTGCAACCATATACTTAGGTACCTTTTAACCCCATGGAAAAAATATCTAACGTTCATTACTACCAATAACAGGAAGAAGATTTTGCTTCAAGAATGACAAACCCATCTTAGTGAAGTTTAGGCACGCTCTCCACGTATGCGGCGTGCTAGCTGGATATCTTTTGGCATGATTGTGACACGTTTGGCATGGATAGCACACAGGTTGGTATCTTCAAACAGGCCAACCAAGTAGGCTTCACTTGCCTCCTAGTGTAGGAAGAAAAGAGTTAAGAACACTTTCATTCTGTGAGCACTAGAAAAAAATAATAATTCAAAGTACTTGGTAACACAGCATTAAGTTTAGGCTTCTATCTTTATCACAAACATCTAAAGTTTTAGATTCTCAAAAAATAAAAGCCTCCATTTTCTTACAAACCACCCAATAATGTTCTACATCAGAGTTGTGTACTACTGCCATTCGGTGAATACATCCTCCAGAACACAACCGAACCAATATTCCAACTGGACTCTCATGAGATAAGGGGTTATCTTATCAGAAGGTCAGTTTGCCCAGGAACTTCTCTTTTTAAAGGCTGGATTACACTATTTGAGTGACTTGTCTGCTGCCCCTTCCAGCACAAAGAACTGAGTATCTAGTGAAATTGGCAGATGCCAGGGCACAGAAGAGCAGGTGTCCCTTCACAGCACACAGCTCCTTGCCATACTGAAGTGGGATAATTCAAAAGTCAAAAATTAGCACCAAAAAAAATGTACCAAAAATCATTAGACATAAGACAACACCTTTGACTCAGGAACCCCTTGAATCACCAAAACAGGGACAGCAGTCTGAGAATTACCACCAGACACGTGTCCTATCCCTATACTTTCTTCTGGCCTAAGCACCCCCTGCCTATTTGGGGCACACAGCAGAGCCCCCCACAATCGCAGAAAGTTCTCCCCTCACATCCGTGAGAACCACGGGGTCAGCAGTCAGAAGGGCAAAGGACAAGCCCCATCCTGGGAAAACCACAGCCCTGACCACAGCGTTTTCCATGTTACTGAACAACTGCAGACAGGGCGCTGGATTAGACAGACGCTCCGTTGGACCTAATTGTTCTTCTGGCTCATGTTAAGTTATCTGCTATTAAGCCCAACACAGCAATGGTATCGGTTTGCACATTTTTAGCTTGATACAGAATTCTAACAATCTCCTAGGAAGTATCCTGGAGTGTGATCTGATCTAGGTGTTCCTGCTCCGGCAGGGGGATTGGACTAGATGATCTTTCGAGGTCCCTTCCAATCTCTAACATTCTGTGATTCTGTGATTGTGTGAGCATCAGAGCAGCACAGGGGTTTTGGCCAGAGCACACTGCTGGGGTAAGGCGGCAGGAATGATGGGGCTCACCTACAGAACCAGTCCAGCTTTCCAGAATACAAGAGAGAACAGCTTGTGTGAACCCTTTTGTTACCAGGAACCGCAAAAATCAACTTACTAGGTTCAAAGTTCCTGTTTAAAAACATAGAGTATCTACTACGAAGAAAAAAAACATTTACTGCAGCAGGTGAGGACTGCAGTATTAGCCATTTTGTACGCAGTAGGATATGGCTACCACAAGTACCCCAACACAGTTTTGCTAAATCACTACATGAAAAGTTGAGACACCTCACCAAGTAAGCCACGCTGGCACCAACAACATGGTACTAAAGGGGCTAAAAGGTTTGTTGTTTTTTTTTTTTTTTCCAAATATGCAAGCAGGAAGCACACGAACAAGCTCTATACCAACAACTCCTTAATGCAAAACCAGCCTTCTGAGAACGTATTAACTACTGACTCAATTTTAGCAAGCAGCTCCTGACAAAAAGACACACAAGTAAACCTCAGGATTTAAGAGCTGCCATGTTCACTCACAGCAGTGAAGACAAAAACCAAAAGCAGCAACTTTGCAAACACACGCAGCCACCTTTTGAAGCTAAGCACGTTTACAGCATCTCACGTTTTGGCCTTTATCAAGTGGAAGCCATTAACCAAAAAAAAAGACAACTTTGCCTGGATATCAGGTATTCTACAACTACAGATAGGTTCTGGAATGATCTTTCAACAGTTAAAAGAACAGTAAAGACTTATCTTTAATCAGGAGTGTACTTCTATCATGAGAGTGAAATGTTCCTGTGACAAGGACACAGTCTTGGAGGGGACCTAACTTACATGCAGGAATTTGGGCCAGAAGGAGCAATCAATATTTCACCCTCCATATACTCTAAATAAGTTATTTAATGTATTATAAACCTCAGTCAGCATCAACCTAACCAGACAAAAGCACTTACTTCCCTAACCATGTTCAGAAGCAGCTTATTGAGCTGTTTTTCTTTTAAGAGCATTCGGGGGTGCCAAGACCCCCATTTGGACACACCAGAACAAGCCTTACACCACACCTGCCTCAGACTGCGTGGCTTTCAAAAGCAAAACCTCCAGCAAAGTTTGAGGACAGAGGAAATAGATTTATGTTGAGTGGCTTAATAAGATGCACTGTTCTGCCAAGTGCAAATTCTTGAGGAATGGTGGGCTATTTAAAAAAATAAATAAAAAATAAACCAAAAGAGCAAATTTATAGCCTTTGTAAGGAGCTACAGACCCATCCCTGCGTTATTTTAGCCTGTGGTACCTGTAGGGCATCACCAGGTCCCTCTGGGCAAGGGAAGGCTGCGGGGTACATCCCCCCACCCATGTCAGCCCCCCATGCCCCGGCCCGGAGTGGCCACACCCC